GTTGGGATGCCTTGATTTAGTTCTTCTTTCTGCCTTTGGCTTGTCATGTGTCATTAGGCAAACTGCTTCAGCAGTTCCAGTAGTGCCATCTGCAAAAAGAGATAAGGTCAATGTAGGTCATATACTGAGTGCAGTGTGTGGCACACCCTTTTAACGAAGGAAAATGGAATCCTGGTAAAGAAACATGAGATTTAACAAGCAGATAACAATACAGGAATTCCTTAAACTTCCTTGTTGTCCCATAACAAGTCACTCCTGCTGCTTCCTCTTTGGAGAGGAAGAGGAATGGCTGTTCCAGCAGCACACAATTGCCTGAACTCCTGCACCCTGGCATATCCCAGCCCTGCTGCTGCATGGCAATGCAGGGAGGTGACTGGGAGCATGTTCCCTTCTGGGATTCAGTGTGGCTCCAAGCCAGGACCCACCAGTGACAGGGATTCCAGCTGTCCTCTGTACCTGTAGCACATGTCAATTATTTATCTCCTCTTGCTCCATGCCACACAGGGATTGGATTGGATTGGATTGGATTGGAAAGAATGATCTAAAAATAGCAAGTGCCTATGCTGTGCAGCTGAGCAACAGAAGGTGCCATGGCTCTTCCTGCTGAACCTTCTAAAGAAACATTTTAAATGAACACACAAGAAACTAATACTAATTAATAATAGTATTCTGTGGAGACCTGTGGTAGAGGCTGCAACAGTGCATTAGCAAGCCATGCATAATTCAGCAAGGCTGAATTCTTTCAGACATCATCTGCAGGGAATTTTGCACAAGTATGGACTCAATAATTTGTCCCTTTGTGTGCATGTGTAAGTGTTCCTGAGGGCATCGTTTGGCCTGCAGAGCCCCTGTTACTGGAGGTGCTGTTGAAGAAAGGGAGCATCCATTCTGAGTCTTAGAAACCAAGCTTGGATGGTAGGATGGGTTTTCAGAAGGTTGTCCTCCTTGTAAACAGACACTAAACATGGACCCCTATGATGGGATTTTTAGTTTTTTTCCCCTCTGTGCAGGCACTTTTTCAAAAAGAGTTGCAAAAAACGGGCAGTTCTCAACAGACCAAGTTATAAACCAGCATTTTTCAATGGCAGCTGAGGCACAGCCATGTGAAAAGATGCATTGGCACCTAACCAAGTGGTCTGGCAGTGTAGCCTCATGTCATGGAGCTAAAGCTACCTGCTGAGCTGCTGCTAGAGTGAGTTGTCACAGCTTTGTATTCTCTTCTCCTGCATGGCAAAGTTAAGCTAAGGGGGAATGTATTTTATCTCTCTGCTGGAGCAGGATGAAGACATGTAAGTGGGACAATTAAGGATGACTCAACTGACAAGAATAAGCTGCTACATTAGCCTTTTATATCTTGCCCTGCCTCTTATTTTCAGAGGGTTGTTAACCTGGTCACCCCTAGTAAGGCTAATTTGTGTGTGAATCTGGAGACCCTTAGTTTGGGTGTTCATAAAATAGAAAGATGACTTGCTAATGGGACTTCATGCTCATTTGATAGGGTACTATTTTGTCATTGCTGCCTTGTCAGCAGAAACAGCAGGTGGGTTTGCAGGTTCTCTGAGCAGAATGCCACTTTTTGCCACCAGTCCTGGAAGTCTTGGAAGGATTTGTGTTCTCCCTGTGCCACTGCATATTGTTATAACTCAGTTGCAGCAATGAAGATGTATTTGTGCTCATTGCAAATACTTACAGAGTAGCACAGCATAATTGTCCCTCTGCAAGCATCTCTCTCTAAACTATTGTTTCAAACTGCCAGCCACATCTTTGTTCTTTATTAAGACTAAGGCAGCAACACAGAGTCTGTAGGTATCAGGAGATAATCATTCCCCAAGGGCATTTGAAACACTTCACAACCAAAAGGTTGTGATTACTCCAGAATTGCTATACTGCTTATTATTCCTTATTGCTTAATTATGGAATCAGAGTGTGTTTCCTGGATGCTGTCATCTGAATAAGATTCTCCACTTCTCATGCTCTGCTCCAGTGGGCTGGAAATCTCTGTAGATGTACAGGATAGCCACAGGGCAAGCCAGTTCTGGAAGCTCTGCTGACCTTTTGGGAGACCAGAGCATTCATAAACAGGGCTGTGTATCTAGAACAGAAAAAATATAATGGATTTTCTCTGAAGTGAATGGACTGCTTGTGTTGAACCCACAACCTTGGTGTTGCTGCACCATGTTCTGAGCTGAGCCCATCCCATCTCCCTGGTTCAGTGAGTCTCACCTGACTTGGAGCCTTGAAAGGAAATGTACTCTTGTGGCTTCACACTGGAAAATAAAAGTAGAAAGTGTGGTCTTTTCCAGGCTCACCAGGCCTAGAAATCCACCCGGAATTACTGATTTTGTGAAATCTTGGATTTAATGCTTCATTGAATCATGTAATCTACTCTAAGGAAGGGGAAAGCATGCAGTGTGTATTTTAGCCTTAGCCTTGATTTTTTTGAGTGTATCCATTCACAGGAAGATGAGAAGATGGGTCATAAAACTCAGGCTTCTAAATCATCACCTAAATTTCCTGGTGAAATTCTTTCTAAACTTAATTCCTTAAACTTGATTTTGGAAACTTGAATAAGAAATAGACTGGGTGAAACTCTCATATTATCACAAAGTTTGCTTAATGAGGTGCCTTTTATGTCAGCACTTGATTTTTAAATGCCCCTTTTCATTGCTGAAATCCAAACATTAACAGCACCTTCCATTGTGGCTCTCTGTGCTAGTGTGTGTCCTCTGTCTTTTGCAAGAGGCTGCCTGCAGTCCTGCTAGCAAGCTCTTGTGCCATGAAAAGAATTTGTTCAGCAAATAAAAATGTATTGTTTTCATTGTTAGAGGATGCTACTTAATTGGCTGTATGTTTGTCTAATAATCACATCTAAAGCTGATTATTCTCATAATAGCCTTAAGATATTATTTAAAAATAAATATATAAATGCACAACTTTTGTACTAATACTAGTTTTTAATCTCTTCTTGTTTCTATGAAGTCTGAATGAGATTTTCAAAATTGAATAATAATTTGATCCGTTAATCTTTTGAAGCTAGTAATTTTATTTTCCCCTCTTTGCAGTCTCTGAGGCTCGCAAATGAATAGAGCTTCATTACTGGAGTCTGCATTTAATAACCATTATCCATTATCTTGTAATTAAGACTCCCTGTAACGAATCATGAGGACAATGCAAAAATACATAGTACATTTCTTTAATGAACTGGAAAATGTTCATCTTGTTCTATTTAGTAATGAGTTGCTGAATAGTCGTTAAATCCACTGGAGAATAGAACTAGATGGATTTTGAAGACTATCTTGAGTTTGTGGTTAATCTATTAGAATTAAAATTTCATCTTCTATTTTTATCAACAGCTGATTAGAAGTCATTCTGTTTGACCAAATTGATTAGAGGACCATATACAAGGGCAGCTGTTGTTTAATGAAAGTTTTTAATGAAACTGTACCATAGAGACTTGTAATTATAAGACTTATAAAAGCTTTGACTTACCTTATAGCAGAAAAAATGAGAAGTATTGCACTGAAGGACTTTAAGTGCTACATTTCGAAAGGGAAATTAAAAATATAATTTGGTGATGTTGAAGTTACACTTGCACTGCTCCTTGTTTTAATGTGACTATCAGATGTCCGTGGTGTCTCTCTGGAAGGGAGCAGCTCTGAAATGTGCAAGTCAATTGTCTCTCCTGTGTGCTCCATTCTCTGCAAAGCCCTATCAACTATTAATTGCCTCTTTTGCACATTGCACGTTCTGTGGAGTTAGGACCTTTCTTGCAAATTGCTGTTTCTCTCCAGAATGGGAGCTGTCACAGGAGGGTGCAATTGAACCACCGCTGGGCTGACATGGTGCCTGCTCAGGAAGCCTACAGAGAAAACTGTGTGGTCTCAGAAACTCCAGAGTTGGTGGTGCCATTTGGTTGTGTTTAAAGCCAGAGGAACTCGCCTGGCTTTGTGCTGCCTTGCCCTCAGGCTGAGCCCCAGCTGTGTGCCCATCAGCTGTGCCATCGGGGAGGCTCTCTCTGCAGTGTGCTGCAGCTCACACCACGTAGTCAAGGCAACTCCTTGCTTGGAGCCAGTGCTGAAACTTCCCTTCCCTCCTCCAGGGGATGTTGTAGAGGCATCATCATTCACATAAGAGACAAAACGGACCCCAAGCCAAATTTGAAGTGGAAGCAGATGCAGTTCCAATTGACTTAAGTGGATGATGCACTACTACATGATGTTTGAATTATCCCTCTTCTTCTCCCAATTACTTTTGATAATTAATGATCCCACAGTACACCTTTTCTAAGAAGTAGGTTCCTAGGGGTGAAGTGCGTCCTAATGAAATTAAAGAAGTTTTGTCATTGTGTTCTGTCAATGCTAGATTATGCCCTGCAAGGCACATTATTTCTTGTTAGTTTCTTAGCTTTTTGTTACACTGTGCTTCAGGATTTCTTTCAAGCCAAGGCAAAACAGCAAGAATACACAAGAATGTTACACAAGTATTAAGACAGGCAGTAGAGAATATTATTCACTAGTAAGAAAACAGGAAAAAAAATAAGCCAAGGCTAACTCTTGTTCTTTAAAGAACATAGATGTTTTGACCTTGTTGCTGCATTAAATAAGACTGTGGATTTAAGTATAGTAACTTGCAATGTTACAATTGCTAAATGCATAAAAGGGGAGTTTTCCCTTGGTTTACAGTGTTACACAGCTGGTTAGTAAACACATATGAGATATCTTTCCCTTCTCTTAAAAACAGCTGCAGGAGATACAATAGAAGACTGTCAGACCTGAGACCAAGTAGATGCAAAGTTAAATGAAAAAACCTGATGCAAATAATTTCTATTCTCAAAGATCCTTGTGGAAATACTGAAGTGTTGATTTATATACACCACAGGGACATACGTGTAAAGGAATGCTTCAGAATTGCTGTGAAGCAGGAGGGCATCTTTGAGGCTGTGAACCTGTATGTTCAAAACTTGTTCTAAAACTGTTATAAAACATTTTATTTCCTTTCAGGTTCTGATTTTATAAAGACATCTACAGGAAAGGAGGTGGAGAACGCCACCTTTCCCGTTGGCATAGTCATGATGCGAGCCATTAAGGAGTACTACTGGAAAACTGGCTACAAGGTAATTCTCATTTCCTCTGTAAAAATTAACCAAAGAAATAAGAGTGTAATAGGATTGATTTGCTAATATTTGTATTTTCTTTTTTACTTTTGTGTTTCCTCCCTTGAAGAGCTGTGACTTCATTCCATAAAATCTCATGCAATCAAAGCTGTCCCTGCTGCATCTGGATTTGAATTTTTTTTCACCATTTAAGTAGTCATGTCCATTACTAACAGGGCTGATGGTGCCTGACATGCTCCCAAAAATATCAGCAGGCTATACAAATGTAGAGCCATCGAGTCTGTCCAATGTACAGAACTGTGTTTTCTGACTTTGTCCTGGCAACCCAAAGGATACATTCTGCTCTTTCCTCCCTTGCCAGAGAGGCTTTCCAAGGGGACAGGGAGGCAGATCCAGCTGTATCCCATTGCCTGGGATGGAAGGAAGGAGAGGGGAAACAGGGGTTGAAAGAACATTATATTTATTGATCAGGTCACTGTCAGGTGAGGTCAGTGGAGAAAAGGGAAATGTACAGCAAAGCCAGTGATGAACTGTCTGTGCATTCATCCTTTTGCTGCAACACTGAGAAAGGAGGAGATTCCCAGGAGGGTTTAAGCCACCTCTCCCTTCCTTTTCCCATGGGCAGGTGGGGGCTGCCAGCTGGATCTGGTGCTGGTGTTCAGCAGTGGGCTTTGTCCCTCACCTTCAGCACCAAGGTAGAAACCATATCTTCAGCTAAGAGCCTCCCCCCATTTCTGGCCACCCTTCCCTCCTCTCCAGCTTCTCCTTCTGTCCCTTCTGCAGGTGGTGTCAGTGTCAGCACATGGGATGAGCAGTGGGAGGGGGGCTGAGAAGGCTTCAGGGGCTGTCAGGGCCTGAGGAATGTGTGACACCAGGTTGGAGGTGTGTCCATCCACTCTCTGCAGCCATCTAGATGAGGCCAGCATGGATCCCTGGGCTGTCTCTGTAAGACCTGAAATGAGGGATGTGGGGCTCCAGGGGCTCTACAAAATCAGTTTATTGTATCCAAAATGCAGTTTATTCCATCCAAGAGTTACAGCAGTCCAGGGTGGTGGGTGACAGAGCCTGTGCCTACAGCTGTCAGCTCCAGCTGCAGGCAGGCCTGGAGACCCTTAGTTTAGGTTACAATGCATTATATACTTTTCTTTGCTGAGCATCTTAATATAGTAGGACCAACCTATACCTCAACTTTAATCTATAGCCTATCATAACTATTATAATTACCATATTCATGTTACTATTCTCCAGTCACTAAAAGTTAGGACATACAGTTTAAGCTTAAAATTGTTTTTCAGTTTTCTTGCAGTGGAAGATTCTGAGACCTTTTTTCTACTTGCAGCATCTGCTGACTTGTTTGCCTGTGCTATCTTTCTGCTTGGTAAAAACATCTTCTTGTTTGAGGTGGGTTTATCCTTTGCTCTAAGCCATAAAAACCCCTTGTAACTAACACAGCCTTTGCCTCCTTGGTTATCCAGTAAAACTGTCTCAGCAATTCTTTTCTTCTGTATCAAAACTTGCTTCCATCTCTATTCCTTCATCAGACTCTACATTCAGAAATCTTTCTGCCAAACATATATATCTGTGAGACTTGTTAAACTTTCATCCTTCCCAACAGTCCCCACTCCTCCTTTTCCCCTCCTGCCTCTCTCTCTGCCACACAATAATTTGAGAGCTCCAATAGTCTTGTTTTTGTGGGAGCACCATCACTGCCCCAATGTGAGGCAGATCCCTGGGGCAGACCCCCCTGGGCACCAGTGCTGGGTGCCACAAGCTGCATTAGCCCAGCTTTGTCCCCATAATTGGATATAAATGTTGAATTCACCTTTTGCTTTCAAAGGAGGCATTCAAGGTATGAAATGTGTTATTAAGAGTAAGTGCTTCTGTCCGTGTGCATGTGTGTGCCAGTGAATTAGATGTAAACTGACTTCATGTACTTTTATTAACTGAAGACAATATTATCAGTGACAAGAAATTTCTAAATGGTTTCTTTAACAAACTAATTTTGCTGCTGTAGGGATGCTTTCTAGCAAGGCGTTGCCTGGGAAAAGCAGGTTAATACAGAAATTAAACTTCTTCAAGGAAAGGAACAAGTTGCAGAGTAACATTTATTGACTGATAAGCTGTGGTGGTGATATGAAAAGTGTGCAATATAATGGGAAATAATCTTTTCCTGTCATTATTGAAGGACATACATAAATTGGTTTTTCTGTTGGGAAAACCCCCAATCCAGAAAAACTTATTACTTTTAATAATGTAAGGTGAAGAGAAAATTCTTGAGGAGATGAACTTATTAAGCAAAATAATGAAATACTGTGAAACAGCAGGAAAGTGGTAGCTGGACTTTGTACTGCTCTTGAATTAAATTCCAACCCCCCCTTCCTTTTTACGTTTTTATGGCAGTCAGATGTGCTGTTTGGAAAGCTGGTAAATGGAGGAGAGGACAGGCTTGTCTTTGTCAGCTTTTTTGCAAAGAAAAGAGCTTTCAGAATCTGCTGAAAGGGGAAGGAGTTCTGAATGATGGTTTTAATTCTCTTATTAACTCTGTTTCACTTGTTTTTGCCACAGATTATCTCAAAGAGTCGTCGTATTTCTAGGAAGAAGTCTAAATTCAAATTTCATTAGAATTTCTCTTCCTGAGGGAAAGCACATTCCAGCTGGTTTTGTTTATTATCTAGAAGATGCTTTTCCAGTTGCTGGGCTTTAAATTCTTTTTGGAAGTCTAACATTAACAGATGTATGCATACACTCATACATCTATTTGTCCATCCACAAAACCACAGTTTTCATGGCTTGGATTTATCAAGCTTTTCCTGCTTTTGTTCCTTTTAATCTTATTGGAAATATGCCATTATCACAATGCTCCGGCATGAGAGAAGGATTTATTCTGTGTTTGTTGGTCCTGAAATCACTATATAAAAAAGGTACTTTCTGATTCCACTATTATGTCCATAAGGCACAAAGAAATCCTCAGTGCAGTGAGGTTTTGGGAGCTTGAATACAAAAACAAAATGATAATTATTGCAGAACGTAAAGGCAGAAGGAAACAGAGGAAGAATCACTGTGTTGTTCAGATTTACCTCTTCTTTTATACAGGAAGAATTTTTCATGATTCCCCTTGCTTTTCAAGAGTTTAGGTAGCTGCTACAGGCCAACATTTTGGCATTTTTGATGAGGGATTTGATATCTGAGTGTCACAAGCTCTGTCTCGTGTTTAAATGGCACATAACCAAAGGACTGGCATTAGGGGTGTATGCCAAGTGCACAGCAGGTCCATCATGGGATTCCAGACATGCTTTACCTCAAAGATAAGTTTTACTTGGGGTTTGTGCCTTTGCAAATATAGCAGTTCACCTTCAGGTATGACCCACATCCCACACAGAGGGACTGAAAGCACATCCAGCCTGTGGTGGGGGACAGACCTTTAAATTTTTGATAAAGATAGACATAATTTAACTCCCATTTGGATAATTTTAGTGAAAATCAAACCTCTGATAGGTTTGAATGCACAGCCAAATCATGTGTAACTGCGCTGCACAGGCTTTTTATAACACACAGCCAGTTCTCACTGCTGCCCACGAGTCAGCCACGCCACATGCAGCATCTTTAGAGTTGTGTTATTGTTGTATATTTATTGTTCTGTGTTTGGAATTAGATTGGCAGTAGGTGATGGTGAGATGTGCACTATGTGATTATGCAGATATCCCAGTCCTGCCTAAATCCCTTGTACTATAGGCAATCTACTCCCATTAGACCTCAAGCCCAGCTCCTGAGGAAGTGCACAGGGGTCAAAAGTATTGCTCCCTCAGTCTTGCTGGACAACTAAGAAAGCAAATGTTAAGTCAAGTTGGAAAGAGATTTGATGATTTAGAGCAAAGGATAAGCTGACCACAAACAAAAGATGTCTTTACCAAGCAGAAAGATTCCACAGGCAAATAAGACATGCCAATGTGGCGAGTAGAAAAAAGGTCTAAGAATTTTCCACTGCAAGAAAACTGAAAAACAACTTTAAGCTTAAACTGTAACATACAAACTCATGTGATTGGATAGTATTAGCAATAAGATGGTAATGATTGTAGTTATCATAGCTATAGGTAAAAGTAAAGGTATAGATTGGTTCTTGATGCTCAGCAAAGAAAAGTATATAATCCATTGTAACCAGAATTAGAGGGTTTCAGGCCTGCCTGCAGCTGGAGCTGACAGCTGCAGGCACAGGCTCTGTCACCCATGACCCTGGACTGCTGTAACGTCTTGGATACAATAAACTGCATTTTGAAGAGCCACCTGAAGTCCTTCATCTCCCTCCAGGCTCTTACTCAGGTGCTTCCCATGTAGAGCTGTTACATCACAGGCACTTTGAGAACTGGAACTCTACAAACATTGATTGCTCTTCTAGGGTTGCTGATGGATGAAAATGTGTGTTGAACTTTTCTTTTTTTTCTCTTCTCTCTCTCTCTAAAGGTTGGATTTAAACCTGCAGGGGGCATTAGGACAGCCAAGGAAGCTATTACCTGGCTGATGCTGGTGAAGGAGGAGCTGGGAGTGGAGTGGCTGACCCCAGAGCTCTTCCGCCTGGGTGCCAGTAGTTTACTGGGAGACATTGAGCAGCAGGTTGGTTGTTGGCAGCTTCACAACTCCTGAAGAACAAAAGTATTCTTTCTAAAAGTGCTGGCTTACTGCCTCTGCAGAAATGGAACATCCCTCTAATTCATTATTAATGACAGGTTCACTTCCAGCTCAGTGTTTATTCAAGTTGGAGCTGTCCTTACAGACATCTTGGGCTCTGGTGTTGGGGCAGTGACCATGGTCTAGGCCATGTTGGCAGTGTAAAATTTTACAAAATTTGGGCAAAAAGGGCTCGGTTTGGGCATGTATAGAGTCTTTTCAAATGCATGGCTATTGATGCTGGGAGCCCCCTATAGTGGGAATAATGTGCTCTGACTCCATAATTCAGAAGGCTGAACAATTGCTTTATTAAAACTATACTATATTACACTAATACTATACTAAATTACATACTAAAGAGAAACTATACTATACTAAAGAAAAACCTGTGACTGAGACGGTCAGGATACAGCTTTGAGTGATTGGCTAGTCACTCAAAACAACTTTCACCTGTGTCCAATTAACCAAATCACTTTGGGTAAATGATCTCTGCACATTCTACATGTGCAAAACAACAGGAGCACTGAATAGAGATGAGAATTGTTTTCTCTTCTTCTCTCTGTGCTTCTCACTGCCTTCCCAGGAAAAATCCTGGGAGAGAGAGAATTGTCTCTCTCTCAGTCCAGAGAGTGTGAATGCCACACGTGGCAGTGTTCTGCTCTTCACTCCCAGCTGTGACTGAGCCTCACAGACCCCTTGTGTCACTGTGCCACAACTCCTCACGGTGTGTTTCCATCCTGTGGAGAAAGTCACATCTCATCCAATGGATGGGTGCTGCTGACAGAGAATTTTTTACATGTTGGCTGTTTCCTGGGGAAGAAGTTCCCAGTGGGAAGAAAGATTCTGACCTATGTATCCATGACCTACATCAGTGGCACAGGGTAGCAGCCCCAAAGGATGCCCCAGGGAACAGTGTAGTGTCATTGGAACTACCAAAACATGAAGGCTTTTGGTCCTGACTTTCATGTCCATTAAGCCCAGGAGAAGAGGTGATATTACCTTTTACCAAGAAAAATATCTGAGAGTCATTATCCTGTTGCTGCTGCTGGGAAAACATGAGGTATAGGGGCTTTGGGGGACGACAAAACCACCAGTCTTTTCCCTTTCCTCACATTTCCTAGCAATTGAAATACTGACATGTTTTAAGAAATGTTCTAAGAACAGCTTAGAGATGTCAGATTAATATTCATGACTGCTGAAAACCTCTGGCTCACTCCTGCAATGATAATAATATTGTCTTGCTCCCTCTGCCTCACTCTTGACCTAAAATTATGTCCCTGGTTATGACAGAGCAGCATGAGCTTTCTCTTTGCCACTGCCATCACTGCTGGGTGTTAGAACACAGCCAGTGATTGTGTTGCACCATTTTTTATGATTCCTTAAGGGTTTTATCTTTTATCTGCCAGGGATTGCACAAATGCCCCAGCCATGACCAAAGCTCTTGCTGTTCTATGCTGTCTGAAAACATGGAAGATAAAATGTCCCAGTCATTATATTCAATAAAACAAACATACTGAAAGAGTCAAAACCAGGTGCCAGAAGAAAGCATTGGCTTCTACCTGGCTCTTTTTAAAATCTTAGTTAAAAGCAGCAAGAGTCTTTGCTTTTTGCTTTTTCTTTCCAAACACAGCAGCAAGAACCCTTAGTTCATATTCTACAAACAAAAATATATTAAGGGGTATTACATCATATTTTATGCACACACACAAACAAATATCTATCATCCTCATCTGGCATGCCTTTAATTTGTTACTTCCTTGACACTTGCAGCTTTATAGTAATATATAATTCCATCATAAATTTTCTTTTTTCCTTGCAGATTTTCTATCATGTGACTGGCTCTTATCCACTTCAGCATGAACTGGCAATGGCTTAGACACAAAACCAACTCAGGATTACTTTTACAAAAGAGGACTTTAAGCAAACAGCATTCAGAAGTCTTCTGACAACCAAGTGCATATGATAGAATTAAAGGCCTAATTCTCCCTTCTTCATAGTTCATGGTATTTAAAAAATATGCTCAAGTCTGCTGGTTGTACTTGATCCAAAAGCAGAAAAAAGTGGCATTTCTGAAATAGTTAAATAGTTAATACATACAGATTTGCAAAGTTAATCTTGCAAAGTTCCTCAGACCAGCCTGAAAAGCTTATTAATGGCAACACTGAAATACTATGAAAAAGATTTAGGTGGCCTGGTAACACTTTGCATTCTCAGAATATGAAATATGTATGGAATGTTTCAGATTGCTAATTAAGAGCTACTGATCTTGGAATAGATTTCCATTCACCTCAGACAAAATCTTCTGGCACAGATGTGTTGCACTATTAATTCTTCTGTTGATTCAGTCTCAGGCATTGTAAGGGGAAAGAAGAATGAAACTTGGCTATTATTTCTCTTTTATCAAATGTCTTCTGTACAAAAAAAAAAAAAAAAAGGCAACCAGACCTCTTTTTTATTTTTTCTATTTTCCCCCCCAAACTTGGGCACAGACATCCATATTTAGACCCTTGAATAAAAGTGGCTTGATTTCTAGAACAGCTGAGTATCCACAGTTGCTCCTGAAGTTAATGGGAGCTCTGGGTGATCAGAACAACTGAAAATCAAGCAGTCTCTATATAGGTGCCTAACTATGCATTCAGGGGCCTATTTTTAGGCATTTCACTCTTAAAATTTTAGTCTAACTTGCTTAGAAGCTCCAATTCCTGTCTCCTGTCATTTTAAAACACATTCATGCAAATCTTTCCATTTTAATGTAGGGGGGTTGACTGTCAGTTTGCAGGTGTCACTGCTAGGCTGGCTGAACTTCAACTTTGCCATTCCAAAAGAAATACATGAATTTAAAAGATGATCTGAATTGTGTCCTGTATGGCATTTAATGCTTTAATGTAAAAAAAAAAGTGCTTTTTTCAGAGCACATTAAGAACAATATCCAAATCACCAACATCTTTTGAATATCAGACTGGAGCTGGTAGATTCATTTTATCAGAACTGCATTCTGCTCACTAACCAGAGTTGTACTAAAAACTTAATTATCTTATCATCATGACTAGTCTCACTGACTTAAGTAGGTCTCATCATGGAAGTGAGAGGAGGAGGAGGAGGATTTTGCTGTAAATCAAGCTACAAGGTGCATTTATTACAAAGAGATTTATTATGAAGATAATAACTCTGTTATTTATCTGGCTGTACCACCTGAACCACTAGAGTGCTACAAAAAACCTTGGACAGATAGGAAAGCTGATTAAGGGGAAAAAAATCAAGAAAAACAACATATACAGAAAGCAAAATCCTATATGAAGTGCTCAAGATTAAAAATGGGCCTTAATTTCTCAGGAAATAGTTCATCCAAGGCTTTCAGTCTTTTTCTGCTTTTGGTCTCAACACAGAAAGTGAGGCTGAGCTGTGACTCTGTTTTCACGTTAGTTTTCCTGAAAATGGCCCACTTTTACCATGAGTTTTCCTTCTGATTTCATTGCCAATTTCATCAAGGAAAAATCCAAGTGCCTGTCTGCACATGGAGGGGGAAATTCTGCTGTGAGCTTTCAGAAATACAGAGCCTGTTACAAGAAGTCAGCTCCCACCAGGCTTTTGCCAGTCTGACCTTCTGCTGTGCCCTCCCAGCCACCACACACTGGATTTTGCTGCTGTTTTGCTGCTCTATAAATGGTATTAAATGTTATAAATGTCCATACTTTCATAGTGGGAAGTAAGGCCACTTGCAAACCACACTTTTTATGTTGTCACTTGTCTTTAGGACAATTAGGGAGACGATAAAAACTAATTTTTTTGGAGATGCTTTAGTTTGCAGGTAGAAGACTCTGTGTAGTGCCTTAAAATGAATGGAGGTCCAACTTTGCCACCTCACTGTGTGAGGTGAGTCTCTGAGAGCAGCCTCACTGTCTCCATGGGAGCTGTGCTGATGAAAGAAGTTGCCAGCAGAAATTCTGTCAGCAGTTTTGGTGTGCACGTGGGCTGCTGCTGGTGACTCCAGGGGTGACAGCTCTGTTTGCAGAGGGAGAGGTTCCTGAAGAGTTGAGGATAGCCACTTCTCTTCTCCATGAATATTAAAACACACCTATGTGAAATACTGTGCAACTCCAAACTTCTCTGTTTTCACAGAAGCTGGACTGGAATGTAGTTTGTACATTTTTTCTGTTGAAACTTTTTGTCAAAAAAGAAAAAAAGCAACAGATTCTGTAAACACATCCAAATAAAGATGATTCTGGTTTGGAGGTTGTTCTTTTTTGAGGAATGAGCAGAAGGCTCAGTGTTTCAGAGCAATTGCTTGTTTTTGTTTAACTCCATGGTGATTGAAGTTATATTCACATTATCTATGGGCCACCAACATGACCCAGAGCCTTGTCTCTCACCCCTCCTGCAGCAGCTGCTGGTACCAGCCAACAATTACCCTGCTGGCAGCCCTGGGGGGTGTCAGGGGTTGAACCTGGGCCAGGGATGCCACCAGGAGCAGCAAGGGACCAGGTTTATCCAAGGGGCCCCTCCAGGGGGCTGCTGCCACCTGAGCAGGGGTGGGATCCATCCTGGGGTGAGGCTGGGCTGGAGACCAGCTGAGCTGAGCTCAGTGGGGCTGCTGGGCAGGGCCAGGAGCATTCCTGGGCTTGTGCCAGCACTGAGAGAGCCAAGGACAGGGACTCCCTTAATTTCTGAGCTGAGGTTGGAGGTGGCAGGACCTTCATTGCCGCCCCCAAGGAGCTGGGAGTGCTCACAGTGTGGGCTCCTAGGCTTGCTGCCCTTCACCCCAACCCTTCACTGCCCTTTTTTCCATCTGTCCCAACTTTTTCCTGCTGTTCTTCAGCTGTGGCCTTCAGCTGAAGTTTGTGGAGGCTGCAGGCAGCACCTGAACTCCTGGGAAGTGTGGAGGGGGTGGTGCTCCATCACTGCACAGAGTTTGGGAAAAGTTCACATTTAGTTCTGTGCTTCAGGCCATTAGAAAAGGAACAGGCAATTATGCACTCATGTCTAAATATATTTCAGAGTGTAACATATGTTTTCTGCAAGTCAGTCTTGTATACTAATTTATTATTTTTATAACACTTATTCATTTAGGATTTTAAATAGCTTCATTTTGTAGACCACATTACTTTGTGAAGAAGAGAATAAATTCAAGAAGAAAGTAAAGTAGAAGCTGCAAATCTAGAATATTCTGCATCACCTTATTTACTAGAAGAGGGAATTGTGTGAGAGGGTAAGCTTTTTTCCTGGTTTGTAGGAAACAAAGATATTAAATAGTAATTATATGTGAAGTGCACATATCAGCTGGGGCAAGTAATACTTTGATATCTTTATTTCATCAGTCATATAGTTCATTCTTTCATTTCCTTTGTGAAGCAGGGAACATACATTATATACCATAGCACATGCCACTGAGACAGAAAAAACTGATCTACTTTTAATTTTATTTTGCTCACTTGGAACTTTGGCTCCTTGCCTCTCTTGGGGAGAAAAAAAGCCCCACGAACAACAACAGCAAGTTTTATTCAAATCTTGGTGAGCTTTTGCTGAAATCACAGCTGGATGATATATATTGTGTGGGGTAGGAGCAAAAGGAGGGAACTGCTTTTATTTAGATGCAACCTGTCCAGAAGAGAAAGAAAATTGTCCTTCTGGTCAGTAACAGGGAGAAGAATGTTCTTATTATGTAAAGACACCTTTGGTAAAATTACTGATTGCCTGTTACTATTAAACTCACAGAAAGTCAGAACCATGCTAAATTAAGAGGTGAAAAGGCTTAGAAAGAAGCACCAAGAACATTTGCAGTCCCTGCACTCCCTAAAAGCAGGAGTAAGTGGGTGATGGGTGCAGAAAAATACAGCAAAGCTTTCCTGAGGCATAAAAGTTTCAGATCTCTGAGATCACAGGGAGTGTTTGAAAACACTGAATTGAGGAAGCATAAATTTAAAATTGCTTCTTTAGCTGAGATGAAAACAAAGGGCTTCCTAAACAATGTTAACAAACTGAGGAAGCCATACTGGAAATGACTACACTTGTTTTTTCAAGCCCTGCTTTCTGTGTGGAAGGAGAAGAGGAATCACAGACATCACAGAATGGGTTGGGTTGGAAGGGAGCACAGCTGGCCTAAGCTCCCATCTCCAGCAGGGCCATCCCAGAGCACACAGCACAGGATTGTGTCTGGAATATACCCAGTGAGGAGACTCCAATGTTCTCTAGGCCATCTGGTCCATGCTTGGTCACTGCACAGGAAAGTTCTTCCTTGTGTCCATGCAGAAAGTTCCTTGTGTCCATGCAGAACTTTCAGAGCATCAGTTTCTGCCTGTTGCCTCTTGTCCTCTTGCTGGGCACACCTGGTCCATCCTCTGACACTCTCCCTTCACATATTAAAGACATTGGAGAGGCCTTCTCTCAGTCACCTCTTCCTCAGCTGAACAGGCCCTTTGCAGGCTCAGCTGGTGCAATACACCACAGTAACCACACCCTAAGATAAATGATGATCTGCCCAGAAAGATGAGGGAAAGCTTCATAAACTGTTTTTCTATTTCAGTAATAGCATGAGCTCTGCTTTTATTCAAAGTTTTAAAGGAGTCCTGACCTCTTTACTAATTAACAAGACAAGCAAATGAACAAAGCAGCCAACCAATTCCCCCCCTATGCCTGGGCCAAGGCTGTTTTTGGTAATCCCATGGGTTAGGGGGCCCTGCCACTGTCCCAAACTGGGGAGCAAGTGGGCTGGTGGAGGAGCTGGGTGGGTGAGCTGCACCTCTGAGCCTGCCAGCCCCTGCTCTCACTGCCTGAGAGGCTGCCCTGGGGCTGCAAAGTGCTAAAACTCTCTGTAGATTACTGATCCACTGAGAACTCTTCTTTTTTTCCACCCTAAAGCTCAGACCTGAGCAACCAGCTCCTTAGGAGGAGGTGAGGAAGGCGTGTGCTCCGTGATTTAATTTAATTACACGTAAGATGATTAAGGATGTTATCTCCATTTCCAGGGGAAATGAAACATTCAGCCAGCATCATGTCAGAAGGCTGGCACGTCTCAGTGCTGGCTGCTTTCTGCTGCCTTCTGCAGAGTCTGGGGCTTTCTTCAAAGCACAGGCTGACCCAGAGAGTGATTTCTTGGTGAAACTTCTTTAAAGGCATGAATTGAAACAGAGCTAAGAACGACTATCAGGGCTCTGAACAAGAAGGGCTGTCACAGACATATTTTCTGAAAAA